TGCTAACATTTTTCTCTTGCACAAATAAAGTTAGCCAAATCATAAAAAAATTATTTTAGGACAAGATAAAATAACGTTCTTTTAAATCAAAGATGTTAAATATATATGTGGAATGAACTTGGACTCAGAAAAATCTGGGCTACTTTTCTTACTTCTAAGAACTGCATGAGCTAGCCTAGGTCATTTTTCTCTCTAAGCTCTTGCTCTCATTTCTTAACTATAAAACAGGAATAGTATCATTTTTGGTTTGTGGTTTACTAAGTTAATAGACTTAAAACATTTAACACTACGCCTGGCACCTAATGAACATTAAATAAATTACACTGTTATTTTATTTACTAGTTGGTTTATAACATTAAAAATGGAATAAAACAGATAATATACCCATCTTATAAAGTATTACAGCTTTTCATTCTTTTACTTGATCCAATGGATACATACTGTAAAAAAGTCATACTAAGCAAGACAGAGTAAAGTAAATTTGCCTGCCATATATCCATATAAAAAATCCATTTAAAAAAAAAATATTTTATTTATTTATTTTAGGAAGGGAGAGAGAGCACAAGCTGGAGGAAGAGCACAGGCTGAGAGGGGCAAGCAGACTCCTCACTGAGTGCAGAGCCCAACGTGGGGCTCAATTTCATGACCCCGAGATTATGACTTAAGCTGAAATCAAGAGTCTGTGCTTAACTGACTGAGCCACCCAGGTGACCCTAAAATCCATTATATTCAATTAACAACTATGTATGTTATGGGTGGTATATGTTATATGAAAATTTACTGTCCAAAGCTACACTGAAGTCAACTTTTTGGTTTCATCTTATTTTAATGAAATGATTGTGCACAAGGGAAAATCCTACCTTTATAAACATTTTAGTTTCATGTATTTTCAACCATCCTACACTTATTTCTAAGTAGCTATAAAATCAACACAGGAATATTATAAGGTTCTATGGATTATTTGATGCCATTTTGCTACTCTATCTATTTACTTATCCCTACTTTCCTGATTTTCTACCTATTCAGCCTATCTTCTCTTTTTCTTTATTTCTGTTTTGAGGACAATTAATTTTTCATTTCTTTAAGTGGCATGACCAGTTAGGGGAACGGAATTCAATTACTAAAACTTAACAAAAATCACTATGGGGAAGATCAGTCCTTATGCATCTGTTGATTTATTGAATAAGCAAGAAGTCCTCCCAGACATCCATCCCTCCACACTAAAAATGCCAGGAGATTTAGGAAAGGCTTACAGAACACTTTTGCCGACACTGAAAATTGGGCACTCAGTAGTGGCTTAGATCAATACAGTTGATCACAGCATTTTGGTTTTTTGTAAGGATGTAGTACCTCTATATCCACAGAAAGTGTGGATCTAATTTCATAGGTAGCTATCCTCTTTTGTTTTCATCACTTCTTTTATATTTCTTTAGAAATCCCCACTCAGTTGAAAAGGATGTTTCTCTCTCTTCTTTTTTAGCTTTATTGAAGTTTAGTTGAGAGATGAAATTGTAAGATATTTGAAGTGTGTGTGATGATTTGATGTAGACATACATTGGGAAAGGATTCCCCACAAGTTTAACACATCCATTACCGCGCAATTTACCTGTGTGTGTGTGTGTGTGTGTGTGTGTGTGTGTGAGAGAGAGAGAGAGAGAGAACTCTTAAGTTATACTCTTTTAGCAAATTGTAATTATACAGTACAGTACAGTGTTCTAAAATAGTCACCATAGTATATATGAGATCCTCAGACCAATTCATCTTATAAGTGAAAGTTTGTGTCCTTACCAGCTTTTCTATTTCTCCTACCTCATGAAAACCACCATTCTACTTTGTTTCTATGAGTTCAACTTTCTCTTGTTTGTTTAAGACTCCACATGTAAGTGATACCCTGAAGTACTTGTCTTTCTTTCTTTGGCTTATTTCACTTAACATAATGACCTCCAGGTTCATCCACATTGTCACAAATGACAGTTTCCTTCTTTTTTTTAAGACTGAATAGTATACTACTGTGTGTGTGTGTGTGTGTGTGTGTGTGTGTGTGTGTGTTTGTGGTGTGTGACATTTCCATAAGTGTCCAGTGGACACTTAGGTTAGTTCCATCTTTGCTCTTGTAGATAGTGCTACAATAAGTGTGGGAGTTATGTCTTCAAGATGATGATTTTGTTTCCTTAGGATATATACACCCAGCCCAGTGAGATAACACCTCATACCTGTTAGGATGTCTATTATGAATAATACAAGAGACACTAAATGCTGGCTAGGATGTGGAGAAAAGAGAACCCTTATTAGTGGGGATATAAACTGGCATAGCCACTTTGGAAATCAGAATGGAGATTCCTCAAGAAATTAAAAATAGAAATACCATATGATCCAACCATCTCACCTCTGGGTATCCAGAAAATGTCTTTTGTAGAATTAAATGATGCTAGTACATTGTTATTTACCTATCCAAACTTGAGTCCCTTTGTGGGGGATCATTTAATAAATCTTGTTCTCCACATTGTTATTCTTTACATACCAGCTATCAATATAGCATAGAGATTAAGAGCACAAATTTAGAAACATACAGAACAGATTTAGATTCCCGGTTATACTACTTACTAGCTAAAAATAGTGTTTTAAGAATACCCAAATCACAGTTGTTGTAAATATCAGATTTTATAATGTGTATATAAAGCCCTTAGCACAATGCTTAGCAACCTATGATACAGTCAGTGTAAATGGTGTGTATATATATATATATATATATGATATTCTACTAAATATAACAATGAAAATGCTATACCAGTTCATGGTTTCAAATATTCAAATACTACAATAGTTAGCAAATATTATCTTAAAAGGTCAGATATTAAATCTTTCTTTTCACTTTGCTCACCACACAGTCTCTGTCACCAACTACTCAGATTTGCCATTTAATTACGAAAGCAGGCATAGAGAATACCTACGTGAATGGATGTGGCTGTTCATTAGGTTCCAATAAAACTTTCTTTATAAAAACAGGCAGCCAACCACATGTTTGCTGACTCCGAAGACAGACTATCACAAGTTTATTTGGTACTTTTCAAAGTAATGTAAATGTTACAAATTTGACCTCAAGTATCTGAGATATGTTACATCGTTTATTATACACTATCATTATTTAACTATAATTAAGTACTATTTCTGTGCATGCATATCTTCATTTGTTTACATATTTATTTATTCATCAGATATCCATAAAGTAACAGTCAAGTCCCAAACATTGGATGGACCTTGTACCAAGATAACAAAGATGAATAAGGCACAATCCCTTTCCAAAATGGAAACAAACAAATAAAACAAACGTTATTCTCATGATATGTCTGTATTCAGATGCAGAGAGAGTAGGATTAACATTATAGATCTATTTTAAAAAATGAATAGGCTCTCAAAGTCCCCAGCTGTGGTAGATTTCAAAATTGTCAGAGTATTTGGCAACTCCTCCACATTCAAGAGGTGGAATCCATTTCCCCACCTCTTGAATCAAGCTTTGGCCGTGTGATTTGCTCTGATAATAGCACACTGACAAAGGTGATATAAGCAGAGGCTCACCTGTTCTTCAGAATTGGCCTTATCTTTTCTTGCTGCTCTTTTGGATCTAGAGACCAGGATCAGGACACCCTACTGGAGGATAAGAGATCATGCGGTGCAGAAATGAGCCATCACAGCTGAGACTCCCCAGATTAACCAGTCTGCCAACAACAGATGTGCCAGTGAGGCCATCCTAAGTCATCCAACCCTAGCTGAGACTCCTGTTAACCATAAATATAAGACACAGGCACAAATCAAATATCAGACACAAATCAGATAATCCACCCAAATAACCCATAGAATCATAGGAGATAGTAACTTTTTTTTGTTTTAAATCATTAAGTTTTGTCATGGCTTTTATGCATCCAAAGATAACTGAAATAATTGTCATTGTTCTATTCCTAGGAACATACATACAATACATTGAAATATCCACATGTATGTTTTTGTATATGTGTGTTTGGTATGTATATTTATATAACAAAATACTCACAGCCTTTTACTATTTTATAACTTTTTAATGTCTACTCTAGCTCTGTTAACTAAATTGAGATATTTTCTAAAGGATGCCAATTAATATAACTTTGTATTGACATCTTACAATTGGCATTCTTCAGCTACTGAGAGAGGGTCTGTTTTCAAGGGGAAAAAAAAAAAAAAAGGAATGAAGAAACAGGCACTGCAGTGAACTTTTGCCCAAAATTAAAATGTGTAACATTTAAAAATATGCCGTGTGCCATATGCCACATTGGCTTCTATTACTACAGTAATTCATAACATTTCTAGATGCCAGCAAAACTTAGTAGTCTGTACAATATGGTCTTCACTTCACTGGCATTTGCCATTGCTTTATGTTATATTACCAACTGTTAGTAAAGGGATGAAATTTTTGACCGTTTGGAGGGCCATTAATTCCTATAGCTCATTTAGTAACAACTCCCATGGTAGGAACTAATGAAATTCCAGGGCTTGTAATAAATTCCAGGGCTTGTAATAGATAATACCCGCCAACTCTCCACATAGGTGAACAAATTCTTCCTTTTTCTGCAAGTAAAAAAAGGATTAAACAAGCATAGAGCATACTTGGATCAAGATGCTCACCTGTGTGAAAACCCACAGCGTCTAAGAGCTTTGTGGACTCCCCCATTGGGGCATGTTCTTTCTTCCACTGCCCAATCCAATTCCCAACGTGGGGCTTTCCTTTTTGGCTACTTCCACAAATGAGCCCAGGTTATCCTTAGGAGTACACCCTAAGAAAAGCATTCTTTCTGGTGGCCTTCCATTTTCTTCTTATTCTTGGAAAGGTGGTATATTTGTGCAAATGGGGTGGAGGAGGTGTGGATAGTTTACCACAATGAAGATTCCTCACCTGCAGAGAGGGTCTCTTTTTAAGGGAAAAAAGGAATAAAGAAAGAGACACTGCAATGAAGTTTTGCTAAAAAACTTAAAATGCATAACGTTTAAAAATATGATGCTTCTCCTTGATGTCCTGTCATTTCTGTAAAAACATAAAGAATATCCAAATAAACCTGACAGTACCACAACTTTCTACCTCCCAAACTTGTAGAATTTCTGAATGCCAAGGACCACAATTTTAGGAATGTAATCTAGTATGACCACTCTGTCAGTTCTCTCCAGAAAAAAGACTTCCTAAAACATAGTGGCTTTTAACATTAGTTGTTTCATTTCTTATGATTTGGTCAGTTGACTGAATGGTTCCTTGCTAAATTCACCTGGGTTCATGCAGCTACGTTCAGCTGGAGTATTAATTGGTTTAGAAGATCCAAGATGGCTCCGCTTACCTATTTGGGACATGTAAATTCTCCCTTGGCCTCTCATCCTGTATTAAGCCATATTGGGTTCCTTGTCCATTAATTTGGCCATTTTTTCAAGCAGGTGAGGGAGGAAGAGACAGAATATCTAGGGATCTCAGGATATAAGGAATGACATGTGCTAGGTTCCCTTGGCTTTCTTTTTGCCTCATCAATCTTGGGCTGAGTGTTGGAGAATTCAGCAACCTAGAAATACCAATGCGCACAGACAAAACAAAGCCCAAACAAAAGTCTGTTCTCTCTAACTAGAAGACTGGGAAAGGGACAGTCTACTTAGAAAGAAAATAACTATTCACTCAAAACAAGCACCATAGAAAAAACTGTGGCCCCACTTACACCCCTAGCAGGAAAGGCTGAGCAAAGAACGTAGATTTCTACCCTTGTCAGGTTAAAATGAGGCACTCTAACACTCTACTAGAGTGGTGTTAGAGAAGGCTCAGTAGGGTCTGGGGCATTTACCTTCCATCAGGTGGTGAACAAGGCCCCTCTTCCATGGTGTCAGTGGAGACCATTTGGGGAGCTGGACTTCCACCTCCCATGGTATTAATGAGACATAATGCCTTCTTCCTGATGGGGTAGAATGAGAGGAAGTTTTTTGAAGATTCAGAACTTTCATGACACCCAGGAATAAGGCCTCCTCCATTCAGTGTCAGTATAGGTCATGTGGGTATAGACTCCAGGGTGTCAGTGGAGGAGGGAACCTGTATTTTTCATTCATTGTTCCATATGGCAGAAGTAAGGAGACATCCCCTTCACTTGCTGGAGTGGTATCAGAGAAAGGACAAAAGACAAGAATACCTAAATAAGACCCAGACTCTCATAAAATAATACTTGAAATGCCCAGGTTTTATTTGAAAACCACCCCTCATACCAAAACCCAGAAATAACTGAACTTGAATGAGAGAAAGCAATCAAAGGAATCCTATAGCTGTTAGAATTATTGGAAAAGGATTTTAGAAAAACACTTATAAAATTGATTCAGTGAACTATTATGAATACATTTTAAACAAATGAAGAAAAAATAGAAATTTAGCAAAGATAGAGAAATTCTCAGAAAAGAAATATAATAGACAAAGAAGAACCAAATGGAAATTTTAGAAATAAAATAACAATGAAGCAATCCTCAGTGGATATGCTCAACTTTAGAATGGAGGGAACAAAGGAAACAATCAGTGAAGTTGAATTTAGGACAATAGATAATAATCTGAACAATGGAGAGAAAAGTGACCAAGGGAGACAAAAACAAAAACAAAAACCTCAGGGACCTGTGGAACCATAACAAAAGATCTAGCATTTGTGTCATCAGAATTCCAGAAGGAGAGGAAAAAGAGGGTTGGGATGAAGAGGTATTAAAAAAAAATAATAACTGAAAATTTCTCAAACTTAGCAAAAGACTTAAACCACAGATTCAAGAAACTGAGCAAATCCCAAGTAGTATTTTTAAAAATGCCAAAAAATATCATAGTCAAACTTATGAAAACTAGGGATAAAGCAGTGAGTGAGAAATGACATTTTACCTGTAGAGTAAACACAATTCAAATGACAGCAGAGGTTTCATAATAAACCATGGAGGCCAGATTGAAGTAGTACCACATTTTTCAAGTAGTGAAAGAAGAGAACTGTCAAATAAAAATTCTTCATCCATAGAGAACAGCCTTCAGGAATGAAGAGGAGATCAAGATAGTCTCAAATGAGGAAAAACTAAAAGAATCTGTCACCATCATATCTATAAAAGAATGGCTAAAGGAAGTTGTCTAAACCTAAAGTACATAGTTTAAAAAAAAGTCTTGAAATATCAGAAAGTGAGAAAGAACAACCAAAAGAGCAAACATATGGAAAAATACAGTAGAAAAATACAATTTCCTTGTTTTCTTGAGTTTTCTAAACTATGGATGACAGCTGAAGCAAAATATATAACACTCTTTGATGCGGTTCTCCATATATGTAAATGAAATATTTAAGACTGTTATATACAAGGGAAGGTAAAGGGACATGGAGTTTCTACACTTCACTTGAACCAGTAAAATGTTGACACCAATAGATTGACATAAATTATGTATATATAATAGAATACCTAGAGCAAAAACTAAAAATAATACAAAGAGATACACACAAATATACTACAGAAAAAGCAAATTGGAAATTTTTTAAACTCTCCAATGAACTCATTCCAGGAATGCTGGAAAAAAAAACAACACACACACACACAAAATAGGCAGAAAACCAAAAACAGAATGTCAGACTTAAAACTTAATATATCAAAAATTAAATTTAATATAAATGGTAAATTTAAAAATTAAGGGAAAGAGTTTAGTAGGTGGATTAAAAAATATGACTAAATAGTATACTATCTATAAGAAATTCACTTCAAATATAACAGTATCTCTAGGCTGATATTAAAAGGATGGAAAAGGACATACAGTATAAAAGCTAATCAAAGGGAAAGCAGGAGTGACTAGTTTAATATCAGATAGAGGAAAATTCAGATGGATTGAGAGGTGGACAAAGGGATGCACACATTTATATGCTGTAGTTTATAACTATATGTAATAAATTGTAATCATAGAACATAGGTGGTAGATCTATACCTACTATAAACATCTTTTAGTTTTTCTGTATTTTTAAAATTTGTAATCAAGTTTTGGGAAATATATCCATATTAAAGACAAATTAGAAAACCCAAAGGAATAATAGTGCATTTGTACCAGATCAGAAAATTAGGCATAGACAAGAAATTGCTATAGCTCTACCTAATAAAGCTTAAAAGCAAATCTCCAAAGGGTAGAACAGTTTCTACATAATTTAACTGCATTTCAGAACAAAGAATATTTAAGGAGGTGGGGAGGGGTGGTACCTGGAAGGCTCAGTCAGTTAAGCATCTATCTTTAGGTCAGGTCATGAACTCGGGGTCCTAGGATCAAGCCCTGTGTCTGGCTCCCAGCTCAGTGGGGAGTCTGTTTGCTCCTCTCTCTCTACCCCTCCCTGCCTCCTCATGTTCTCAGTCCTTCTCTTTCTCAAATAAATAAGTAAAATCTTTAAAAAAGAGAGAGAATTTTTAAAAGATTGAAAGTATCCAGCACCAAACAAAATAAAATTAGTAAACCCGACTACCAAAGATTACCAAGCATGTAAAGAAGCAAGAAAATAAAAGCAAAATATAAAAGAAAAAAAATCAATACAGATAAGAAATGGATAACATAGTATGCGAGGACATTAAAGAGTTGTTATAGCTATATTAGTTACGTTCAAGAAGGTAGAGAAGAGCATGACTCTGTTAAGGGGATAGCTGCAACCAAAGACCAAAATTGAATTTATAAATATTAACAAATCTGAAGTTTAATATGAAAAACATAGTGGTTGGATTAATAAACAATTAGACACTGCAGAAAAAGTGACTAGTAAACTTGAAGACATAGCAGCAGAAATTATGCCAAATAAAACACAAAGACTAAATAATAGTAATGGTTAATAATAATAATAAAAATAATAATAATAAATAGAGTACCAGTAAGCTGTGAGATAACTTCAAGTGGCCACATATGTGAATGAATTTTCTGAAGGAGACAGCAAAATAAATAGTTGAAAATAAATATTTGAAGAAATAAGGCTAAAAATTTTCCAAATTTAATGAAAACCAAAAATTCACTGATCAAGAAAATTAACAAATACCAAGTATAAGAAATCTGAATAAAATTCCACAAAAGCACATCATAATCAAATGGCTTAAGTGAATGATAAACAGAGAATATTATAAACAACCAGAGAAGAAAGATATAATATGTACAGAAGAATAAAGAAAACAATGACAATAGAATTACTTTGTAGTACAAGCCTGATAATAACAAAGTGACATATTTAAACATAAGAGAAAAGTCTCTTGGAATCTGCACCAAGCAAAAATATCTCTCTTTTTAAAAAGATTAATTTATTTATTTTAGAGAGAGGCAAAAAGAGGGCATAAGCAGGAGGGACAGAGAGAGAGGGAGACTCTATGCTCAGTGTGCAGCTGGACAAGGGGCCCAGTCTCATGAACCTGAGTTCACAACACAGATCCAAAACCAAGATTCAGACACTTAACTGACTGTGCCACCCAGGAACCCTAAAAAAAAATCTTTTAAAAATACAGTGTAAAATTTTTTTTCAGACATGTAAAATCTAAAAGAATTTATCCGCCAGTAGGCCTGCTGCATGGGAAATTTTAAAAGAAGTTCTTTTAGGAAGAGGGAAAATGATACCAAATGGAAATAGGGATTTATACAAAGATATGAAGAATAATGGAAATGGTAAATATATAGGTACTTGTAACTGGTCCACTTTCTTACACTATACACAAAAGTAAACTCAAAATGGATTAAGGACCTGTGAGATCCAAAACATAAAACTCATAAAAGAAAACATAGAAAGTATTTTTTTAGACATTGGCCTTAACAACATATTTATGGATATGTCTCTTCAGACAAGGGGAACAAGAGAAAAATGAACTATTAGGACTATACCAAAAATAAAAGGCTTTTGCACAGCAAAGGAAACAATAAAAAAAAAAGGCAACCTATGGAATGGGAGAAGATATTTGCAGATGATATATCTGATAAAGGGTTCATAACCAAAATATGTAAAGTATTTATACAACTCAGGACAACCCCTGAACAAATCTGATTAGAAATGGACAGAGTACCTGAATAGACATTTTTCCAGAGAAGACATACAGTTGGCCAGCAGACACATAAAAAGATACACAAGATCACTAAACATCAGGGAAATGCAAATCAAAACCACAATGAGTTACCACTTTACAATAGTCAGAATGGCTAATCAGAATTCTTGTCCCTCTTTTAAAAATGTTTCAAAATTGAGCATCTACTATGTGTTAGGCCTTCTGTATCAAGAGCATTGTATGGAGGAAATTCCTTCATATTAATGACATGTATATCCTGAAAGTAAAATTATGCTCATTTTGTACAAGGCCAAACAGGTTGGAGGAGCTATGTAGGTTGCCCAGGGTCACCAACCTACTGAGTTACAGGACCAGAACTCAAAATTAGGCATTCTGATTCCAGGATCCATTTTCTTTATAACATATTTGATCTTATTAATGCTGGTATTTTACTTTAATATCAATGTTAAAATCAATTTAAAACAATTTTTAAAAAGCTTGAGTAAAATTTGCATCCCACAGTTCTTTCTTTATCTTCCTGTAAGTCCCCACCCTCACTAGAGTTGATTTTAAGTCCTGCCCAGAACATTTCGTTGTCTGCTTTGGTGTGAATAGCTCAATATTTATGAAGAGCCATTTGCTGTCTTTGTTTCAGTCATCTGAGAAGCTTATCAAATTCTTCTCCTCTGACCATTATTGTTTGATGTAGAACACAAAATCTGAGAAAATACATATAATTAATCTGATTATCCATGCAAGTTGCTCATTAAATATGGTAATTTTGTTGGTCTTACCTTAATGAATTTCTTTGTGGAACTGGAAATTATGTATTAAAAACGGTTAAGCAACCAACTCTTGATTTCAGCTCAGGTCATTATGTCAGGGCCATGAGATCAAGCCCCACGTCAGGCTC